GATAATGTTAATTCTTGGTTACTTTGATCACTTTCATAATCGTATTGGTAACTTTGGTCATTTTCATAATTATAATCACTTTCATGGTTGTCTTGAATATATTCATGATTTTGATTGCTTTGGTTACTTTCGCTTTGATCCATTAGTTAAAAAAAAATTTTTTTAAAAGAACTTATATACATATATAAACTTACGTATTAATAACGAAAATTTAATATACCAAATACTACGTATTTTTACGAATATAATTTATTACGAATATGATTTATTACGTATATAATTTATTACGTGATAAGTAACGGAAATTTTCCGATTGATAAAAAATTTGTCAGTCATAACCGGAATTTCCGGCATTTTACAATACAATTTTGTGCTCTGATCCCAAACACTTTATTCGTGATTATATATGTTGACGAAATTATTTTGGGTTCTAAAACCCGAAATTAAAATTTGAAGACAAAATTGGTTTTGTCCTATTTTACTTAAAAAATGAAATTTTTTGATACTTTTTTTTGAATACGTAGACAAAATTGTAAGGAACATCAATATATAAATTAGATTTGTTCTTTCTTAATTTGCTCTAATGGAGACGAAATAGCTTTTTTCAACAACTAATTTTGGTGGCATCTATAATCGTGATTTTGCTACGGGTGGTCCCATATCGGATATAATTTAGCCAATCAGAATTGCTTATGATTAGCCAATAAAAACAATTTTTCTTCATACTAGTTTGACACGAATACATTTATTAAAAGTATGCGTTTACTTACTTGGAATGTGAATGGCTTGAGATCTCTCATTCAATATCACCCGTAAGCTTGTATTAGTATTTTATACGGTATTTAAATTCCACTTTAAAAATGTTAATATATTTGCTATTTTAGTTGGTGTGAGCACAAAAATTATCAGGTTCGTTGTTCATTACCCTTTTTTTTCGTTCTTTTCAACAATAATTTCATATAATTATTCGACTTGTTTAGACCCTTTTAGAAACTCTCGATGCGGATATAATATGCTTCCAAGAAATAAAATTAACTTTGGACCGTTTGGATTCATCAATAGCAATTATTCATGGATATGACGCGTATTTTTCCTTTGCTAAAGGAAAACCTGCATATTCTGGGGTAGCCACTTATGTAAAAACCAATTTAATTACACCCGTATCTGCTGAAGAAGGCATTACGGGCGTTCTTAATCAGTCGCCCGCAGATGTGAAGTCACCGTTTGACAATCATCAGTCTTTATCTGACACCAGAATATGTTCTGAAATAAGCGATCTTACTACCAATGAACTCTTAGACCTTGACTCTGAAGGTCGATGTGTTATTTTGGACTTTAAAATGTTCATTTTGTTTAATTTGTACTGTCCTCATGAATCTAGTTCCGAACGTCTTCCTTTCAAAATGAATTTTTATAAAGTTCTGCAAGCTCGTGTAGAAGCTTTACTACGAGTCGGTAGACAAGTAATTGTATTAGGCGATATGAATGTAACGCACAAAGAGATTGATCATTGCGATCCGCAGCGATCAATTAGAGAACATGAATTAGAATCATTCGATGACCATCCCGCTAGAAAATGGTTTGATGGATTTGTTGCACCGAATGGCCCCATGGTAGATTTGTTTCGGAAGTTTCACCCCGATGAGGAGGGAATGTACACATGTGAGTCCGTATTAAATATTCGATAAATTTACTAAGTCACATGATACTTATGGATATTAACAATTATAGGTTGGAATACTTTGATTAACGCGAGGTAATAGTAAATTCTTGATATAATATTTTGACTATGTAAGTTATTATTAACAATATTTTCTCAAATTTCAAAGACCATCTAACTATGGTAATTAATAATTCATATAAAGTGTCTATTTATGATATTTAATCTTTATTAAGCTTTCATCTATAATAAATTATTGTTTATTCATCAGGAACACGTTTAGATTATATACTTGTCAGTCAGGGCTTAGTGAAATGGTTCAAATCTTGTTCTGTTGAGCAAAAAATTATGGGATCAGATCACTGTCCTGTCGTTGGAGAATTATATGATGAAATTGAAGAGGATGGTCATAAATATATTCTTAGAAACGAAATCAATTTATCGACAAATATAAATAACGAAAAGTCTGAGACGCCACGACTTTGTGCTAAATATTTGCCAAAATTTAACGGAAGTCAACGAACACTAAAAAGCTTTTTTAGCAAAACGAGCACGAAAAACGATAATTCCCAATCAAGAAGTGGATCCGAGGTTATAAAGACACCATGTGATAATTTACCGAAATCAAAAAATGCTGACTTTAATATCGTCAAAGTTGGAAAACAAATTTCCAAATCTTCAAAGAAGAAATCAATGACGTCTAAGTCTATAAAATTTAGAGGGCATAAACAAAGGCAAAAGTCTGTGATACCGTCAAATCAGCCATCTCTAACATCTTACTTTAAACAATCTACGCAAACTGAGTTATCATCTATCATACGCACCGAAGAGGGATGCAATTCAGAAAGTCTCGAAAGTTCTAGCAACGCAGATTAATTCTAATATGTTGTCTAGCTTTGTTTCTTGCCTCTTTCAACTCAGACAATTATATGAATTATTTGGGTAAAAACAAATATATTGAATTTTTTTCTAGTCTACTTATACACAATAAGGTACCCGATTCACACGTGACTGATCAAATTTTAATATATCCAATAAAAAATTACAAATACAAAATGTGTGAAATTGCTAATATTAATTTATACCGTCAAACATTTTAAGGGTTGCAAAATTATATTTAGAAATATATTTTTCACAATGTCCGGGTTCCATTAAGAGCTGCATCTAGGGTTAGAAAGAATTTTTATATAATAAAATTATGCCAGAAATGTTTTTTGTAAAGATACTAGAAGTACGATTCGGGGTTATTTTTTTATATGTTAAACTGGTCTGAACCGATTTAAATAATTTATTGCATATAAATAAAAGGATTATCAATTTTGTATAATACCGTATTGTCGCGAAATAACGCGCAGGGGTGAAATTACGAATTTCGGCCTAAATTAAGCTTAATTCGGGCCATT